GGCGTTGGAGTGAAATAAAAAGCCGTAGTGTTTGGGCTGTGACTGTTGGAGGAGTATGGTGGAGGTGAGAGTCTATAGTAGTAGTTTAGGTTATTCCTATCTCCTGGAGGCCCGGAATAGCCTGATTTAAAGCAGCGGCTTACAACACACACACACACACACAAACCCTCTGGTGTTACAGTGAGGGTTCTCTCGAGGACACTCTTGTTTCAAAGGGCTCCAGCAGGATTCCCTCACAGAACAGCATTGTCTGGCTGCAGTGTAATAAAAGTGATCTGCTCTCTGTCACTAACTCTTTCCTTCTTCTTTTTCTCTTCTTTTTCCTTTTCATCTTTTTTTTCCTGCCTATTTTTTTGTATCTCTGTTTGTCATCACAAATTAGTAACAATTTCAGTGTGGAGCTAACTTGGACGTGACAATTTAAATAAGACACTACAGTGCTGAGTCTGGTCCACATCAGCTTACTTTTATTCTTTGAACGCTCCTGGATTTAGCTTTAGCATCACTGGGGATGAGGTGTATTTGTTCACTGTAATTCTACGAGCTGCCTCTAGTTGTGTCATAAACAAATGTGTCTGTAAGGCCAACGTCATGGCGTGTGGCGAAGTGATGTGTCTCACAGTTCTACTGCATCAACCTTTTGAATCGATCTATTCTAAACCAACACAGTGTTCATGGCATATTTAGAATTTCGATTTACTTTTAGCTTTTAAGCACAAGTGTGCGTTTTAAAGAAACACCGCTGAGTGTGGTGACGATATCAGAAGAAAAAAAAAACAGCTGTAGAGGAATACTTTGAACCTCAGGGAAAGTCCCTCTCTGGGCTTGTGTTCATATTGTTAGAAAATGATTTGAACTTTCTGCGTTTGTGTATGTGTGTGTTTGTGTGCATGTGTGTGTGTGTGCATGTGTGTGTGGGTACACTACAGGTCCTGGTGAGTGAGGACTCGGACGGAGAAGGAGTTGTGGCTCACTTCCCAGCTCATGACAAACCCATTTCCTGCATGCAATTCAACCCGAGTGGTAAGGCACACACACACCATACACACACAAACACACACACACACAGGAAAGAGCTGTAACAGTTATAGATAGAATAACAGAAAAGGATGGTTTTTGAATGAGGTGAAAATGGGCGAAACACTGCTGCAACATTATTTTACAACCAGCTTTAAAAAGTGACTCCTTTTATTTTATTATTTTAAAAATGCTGATCATATTTAAAGATTGGTAAACAGCCCTTTGAGCCATGACTTGGATGGAAATCTGTTAACATTTTTAAAAAAACTTCACTGTTGTTTTTGTTTTCCTCCTTCTCTTTATCTGCATCACTGACCGTCTCCCTTCATTAACAATGAAACCACCTGTCATTGTTGGTTGATCAATAACGCTCCTGGTTGTTCCTGTACATATGTGTGTGTTAGCGTGCACTGTTGCATGTGCATGTGAGGTTAATAAAGAAGCCGTTGAGTGACAGATCTCACCCCTCGACCTCCAGGCGTGTAGAATCCTTCACTTCACCAGACCCACAACTGAAGGTAGAAACTCTGTCTGGTGAAAAGGATTAGAATGAAAACAGACGAGAAGAGACTGATCCAGATCTCTGGACCTCGTTTCTTCCTCCCCGTTTTCACAAAACTTAGCCCAATAAACCTGGACCTAGAGATTTCTAACGATTCACTAACAAAAAACCCCCCCAAAAAAAAACAGATTTCCAAAATACAAGTTCAGACCAAAAGGTGTTTGTTCATTTTTCATCATCAATTTAAGAGAATTCTTAAATTCTTAGAATTTTTTGACTTGTTTATTTGTCTGTGTGAGACGATTTGTTTAAAGGCAGAATAACATTTTTGTCATTTTTTCTTTAAATGTTGACATCTTGTGGAGTGTTCATATTTTATTGGTGGCTACAAAAAAAAGAAAATGTGGGAGAAGTGTTAAACTTTCAGCTCACTGTAAACTAAAGAGGCGACCTCATCAGGATGCAATTAAGTGCCTTCTCGTTATTGCTTAAAGCTGAATACTTGTGCACACATCACTGTGAAGGGGGGAAGTTCACACCAGGTCTGAACCAGGAGTTGATCATCAGGGTCACTTCAAGTTGCCTGGTTTTGCTGTTGCTAATTTAGTTCCACACAAGTGTGCAGCACATTGCAGCAGAGTAGTAAATCAAGGGCGAAGTGCTGAGTCAGTGAGCCGACTGATTCCGCTGTGATAGTTTCCACAGGGAAAAGTCTACTTTAAAATTCCAACCACCCTTAATCTTTCTGACTCATTTACACCCAACCACAACCAAATGACTAATAAATGTTGAAATTACAACCAAAAGCAGCACTGGGAGTGGAGCTCACAAAAACACAATTACAGTCAGGGCATGTAATGAGATTATTACAAATCTTTACACAGATGGGGGGCGGGGACCCTTTTTTGCACCTTACCCCCTCCCCCTTTGATTGTTTGTTCTTTAATCCTTTTTTCACCTCGGAGCCGTCTTCTGTGGAGCGTCCCATAATTAAAGGTCTCAGGTTTGATCCAAACCCAAATCCTGAGCGACACGTCTGTTGGTCTGGCAGCCGTGTGCTGTTCAGGGGAAGTGACTTTTACTGAACCACCTTCCTGGCCCTATTTGATGGCTGGCTTCACAGTGGTCAAGCTCAACATGGCAGAAACAAGACGGATCGACTTACCAGGAAACAATGATATGACTCAAACAGAGCCTGGAAAGCCCAGAAGTTTTGGCTGGGAAGAGTTATGTAAGAAACCCCAGTGGCCTGTGTGTTTTGGACGCTCTACAGAGGGCGGACTAGTGGCCGCCAGTTCCTGGTGTGGCGGCTGGCGCTTTGCAGCATTTTCGGTGGATCTGTGGATCTATTCCTAGTGGTGTAATTAGAGGGACGCTCTTGAAGTGCAGTGGCACAGCAGTCTCTTTAACAGCTGCCGCGTGTGTGTGCGCGCTTGTTTTCTTTCTCGTCTCGTCCTCTTCACTTGTCCCTAATGATCCTTGACTTGATTGATAGGTGCGATGCCAAGGTCAAAATACACTGGTGTTTGGATGGCTCATATATTGTCCAACAGCTTGTGCGTTTGTCTTGGACACGAGTGGCACTAGATGGAGTGATTGATCCGTGGACCGTGCGAGGCCACGCCCACTGCCTTTTCCGTCAACGCTGCCTTTTTCACAATGAATTTTCCAGTGCAGTCATCAAATACACGCAGAGCTGTGAAAGAGAGGGTTCGGATAAGAGTAATGAGAATAACAGTGCTAATAATGTTAGCACGTCTGTTGCAGGCTTCAGTCCTGAATACCTCAGTTTAATGCCCAATATCTAAATGTATTTAAACAGTGTTTTATAATGCTGTACTGCATATGCATTTGAAAGAGGAGCTTATACAGCTTTTAAATACTTTATTATGATGCAGAGCTCTTAAATTCATTATATTTTATTCATTATTGAACTCAGCTTGAATAGTTTTCACACATTATTAGGTTCAATTTCCCCTTTGTGTAAGTCTTTTTGCGATGGTAATAACAATTTATTAAAGTAAAAAAACTTATTGAAATGAATATTATTATGGCAATATTTATATTAAATATTTTTGCTGTATTTTCTGAAAAAAAGAATAATTGTAGTGTAATTTTTGTCCCATTTATTTATATGGGTTTAAATAATGTATATTGGCCCTAAATTACAACATAATATATTATGTGGGTTAGAACAAAGTTACACCAAATGTGCAACTCAAAGTTTTTTGAAAATTTACATTGTTACATGTAATAAAAATAAATAACAATAAATAAATACATAAAAATCAAACCAGCCATTTGTGACCACAAAGGATAGAAGGATCTATAATAATAGTCATTAATGGCAAGACGTCAACATTAAACCTGTCCTTTGCCAAGTTCTATATTTACACGCTCTAAACTTCTGACCCACTTTACTCTGTACACCGGAGTGTTCTTCACCGTAACTTCATGAAATAGCAAATAGTATTTTCCAGTAATAAAGCATCGACCACATAATCGTTGACAGAATCACTGTTCCCTTAAAACAATTCTCCCTGTCTCTGCTGATGATCGTGAATCACTCAACTCGCTGGTGTTTAAACTGGGTTCAGGTGTTCGTCCCTCCGTGCTCCTTTCATTTCCTCTTTTCAGTCTCTTAAAACCTATTACGTTGCCACAGATTCACAGCTTGATTTCTGTGCCGCCATCAAAACGCTCTGAATACGGAATTTTTGAGTAGCCCATCAAAGCCGCGAGTAATGGCAGATGAATCAAGACTGAATCTCGCTCTCCGCACAGAACTGTCCCATAAACCATAGCCCTGATTTAGTAACAGGCCAGTCTAATGACTAGCCTGGCCCACTGAGCCTGACCATGGAGGCAGCTGTGCCATGGAGGCAGCGCTCCGTGGTGCAATAACTCTGTCTCTGCATCTCACTGATGTGTGAAAGAAAACCAGCCCGTCGCCAAGAAACCCTGGACCCACACGCACATGCTGAACACGGGGGGAATTCCCACACACGAGCAAATGTGCTCGGCCACACATCCGTGGCCACACGTTGGATTGAGTTGTGTCTTCACACCAAAGACAGTAATTAGCACTCAGAGCCTGCTCCCGTGTGATTTACAGCAGGGTTCATTGAACCGGAGGACCCCGTGTGTCCCGGCTCTGTTAGACAATTGTTGAGTTACGATAACGATAAAGATGATGATTATCACTGTGGCTCATATTTAGTGGCCTGACGACGATGCTAAATTTGTGAAAAGAGTCGTCACAGACGGTGGCTGGTTGTTTCAGCTGCATTTGCACTTTTGTCGACGTTCTGTGTGTCTAGGGCAGACATCTGCCAGCAGACTGAGACCAAGAATTCACAGAAAACCAAGTATTAGCCATTCGTTGTGACATGGAGTCGCCTGTTGACACGGTGCGGTTTCCCTGTAATAAATCATTATGAATGAATGCCGTGACAAGCCTCTAGAGGAACAGTGCGTTGTGTCGATTGTATTTGGATTAACATTTCAGGATATAATACATAGTATAACTTTATATACTCGCCTCAAATCAGGGTATGAAGAATAATCTAAGAGATCCTTGCAATTTGATTTTTGTTTTGTGCAATTCCTGATGATTAAACCTTATTAAAAAAGTCAGGAAGAAAATATGTTTCCATTGGAATGTATTATATCTTTAAACGCCACTAGTTTTGAAAAACATGTTTGTGTTTTTATTGAATTCATTTTAATTAATGAATTCATTATTTTGACTCCAAGTGGGAAAATGATTTTGTGTACATGTTCCCAGGTACCCTGTTCATTAATGAATTCATTATTTTGACTCCAAGCGGTAAAATGATTGTTTTGTGTACCCAGGTTCCCAGGTACCCTGTTCGTCCTGCAGGGTGAATTTAGTGTGAATGATTGTTGGTCTCCATATGTGATCACTAGAAAGAGGAATGTCCTTTTTGGGACATTGAAACTCTTCATTCTTCTTTCTCGTGTTTAGTGTTCCGTGGGTGGAACTTTCAAGATACTTTGTCATCATTCAGTAGGCGATACCGGCCATTAACCACTGGATTAGTTTGGCAAAAGCATGTCAGCCATGTCTGCTGCATCTCAACGCGGCCAACACAGAACTGTGGAGCCACTGTGTGCACTATTGCCCCAGAGGTGATCATCTACCTCCTCAGTGCCACATAATTACGTTGGTCATGCTGAGAGAAGATTGCGGACGTAAAGCCAGTGCTCATGTGGTCTCGGTGTTAAACTTGGCCAGACTGTGACTGTGACTCAGGGCCCTTGTCTGAGAAAGTTTCTGCACAGCTCCTATTATGTCTCACATCGCCTGACAACAAACACCTCGGCCGTGTGGAGTCATTCTCGTCCCACACAGTGTAGAGACACGCAGCTCCTCTGTCACTTCCTGACAGTTGGATGTGGAGGAGGTGAGATTTGTTCCAGTAAATAGAACCTACGTGTGAAAGCCAGTAGTTGTGTGGTCCTCCACGACACCAGAGTTTTGAACGAACAAAACACGATATAGACTAAAACTAATGTGTGTAAAGTCAAACCTTCAAGTCATTCCAACGTTAAATTAAATTAGAATACGATGGGATTGGACTGGAATGGATTAGATTAAATTAGATTATTATGAATTTAGATAGAACCTTTTTTGGGAGATTCCATTAGGGAACTCAAAAATGTGTTTTTTACCAATGTGGCCTTTTCTAATGACACATTTCTGGTTGTAGAATTTAATCCAATAAAATAAATTGTTTTGTTTGTTTGCTGGCTGGAAAATGTGACGAGAAGAAAATTCCAGGTCCATAAGAGCTTCAGCAGTAAGTTTTGTTTTTATAATTTGTTTTTAATTTCTTCACACATTTAATTAATTTCACATTGTGAAGTTTTGCAATGTTATCATGAGGGTCTAAATTAATTTGAGCCCATTTGCACTGACGTGATGAAAACGAAATTATAATTTGAAGCAGTTTTAAAAAGTCTACTTGGGTTAATTTAGTCACAGAGCTCTGATATATTAACATCGTTTTTTTCAGTTTTTATATACACACACATGGCTAATTCCCTGTTTGAATGTTTTATTTTTCTCTCGTGAACCTATTGAAATGTGCTTTACTGTGGAGTCTCACCTCTGACTGACGGCTGTGACCGACTCTGGACTCTTTCAGTGGCCAGAAAAGAACACTGGGAAATTTTAAGAGACCATGCAAATGAAAGGAGCTTACCTCCAGCCCCACTGTCTCTGTGTGTGTCTGGCTCACTGAGGGATTACACGCTGAACAATGTCCCAGAACCTTTATCTGTTAGGAGATTGTAAATGGCAGTAATTTGTTTTGGAGCTTTTTGACTGTGGCTTCAAAAAGGTTTGTTGGAAAACGTCTCTCTGAGCCACTGTGAGAACACGGCTGTCACGGCAGAAAGAAAATGAAGGAATTAGGATTGAGTGGGAATTATGAGTATTGGAAGTAAATTGGAGGCGAGAATCTGACATGCTGACTTCCTGTTATATTTTAATTCCATCCTGAAGTCTGATAATCCTCCTGCTGGGTGGACGTTTTGTTATTGTTTAAAAAAGATCTCTCCTTGCTGCACCATACAAGCAGGAAGTATGCATGTAAATGCTTGCTGCACCATACAAGCAGGAAGTATGCAAATATGTAAATGCTCCATAAAACCAGACTGAAGTAGTGTGTTTTCCACTGAAGGTGATGAAAGAAAAGGCCTGAAGCCCAGTCTTCGGAGCAGTCACGCTTTGTAAACTTGACCGCTACGGTGCCTGCTCCCCCGTTTAACAAGGTTTATTTTGAACTGACATTCCTACATAGGCAATATTAAACTAATGACAGCCTTCAGGCTAGTTTAGCTAAAACACACCTTTAACTCACAGGTAGTCTGCTGTGAAAAAATTTCAGTTTTGACCCTAACTCACAGGTAGTCTGCTGTGAAAAACACACAAAATAAATTTCAGTTTTGACCCGATGTACAGCAGGTGAAACATAAGCATCTTGACCCTCTTTTTTTTGTTATCGATGTTTTCTGGCAGCATCCCACCCTTTCCTCCTTTTCATTTATTATATCCTGTTTTCGTACTTAGACCTATGTAGAATGAAGGTCAAATGGGGTAAAGAGGAGCAGGGGAATGTGAAAAACCCTTTACCTTCTTCGGTTTCTGCTCATTTTAATGTGTAAGACAAAGTTAAAAACCTGGATGTGGTTGAACGTCTTTGTTCAGGGTCTGCAGTTCACAGTTCAACGATGCTATAATCTGGTGTAGCAGCATCAAGATGTGCTGAATCCCCTTCTTTACCTTTTAAGAAAACAGGCGATAACATGTTTTTTTGCTGTTCTAAAATTCTCTCCTCTTTACATTTCGAACAGAGGAGAATGAGAATTTTAAAGCTTAACATTTATTAACAAGCAGAGTGTAGAATTCTGTGGCCAGCCAATATATATTAAGCCAATATTTCCACACTTTTTGCTCCATCATCATTTAAACCTAAACAGAAAAATAAATACATTATGTTCACCCAAATGTATTTTTTGATTACTACAATATGTAGAATATACATAATACGGCGAATTGACCTGTCTGATTACTGCAGTAATCGTATGATCAGTGTCTGACACGTAGAGTTTTGTTCTTTTCAACAAGAAGGCAGCTGTGAGGATGAAACCTTGTCCCACACTGGAGAGTCTTTCATTTGTGTGTGCTGGGCGAACGAATCTGCTCCGAAGTTTATGCGTCCTAGCAACAGTTAAGCTATCTGATTACCCCGAGTACGCCATCTTTTCAGGCTTTATGTGTTCCACATGGGTATAATTTGACATTTTCTTGAATTTCAAAGCTTTTTTTTTTGGTGCCCAGTGTTGTTAATTAAAAAGTGGACTAGTTTTGTTGTGGCCTTCTGTGTTGCCAAGTCGGGAAATCACCGCCTTCTTTGTTGATCTCTCACTTCTTCCTTTTCTTCTCCCTTCCTTGCTCTCTCTTTTTCTCTGTCCCCAGCGCTCTCCTTCTTCCCATTTTACTCTGTCAGGAATAAAGCTTCCCCAACGACTCTGTGAGTAAAACATCCTTCCGCTATTAATGGGATTGAGCAGATGTTTTCTGTTTGAAAAGCCCAGAGATGGTACAGTAAACCCTGGAGCAAAGCAAAACAAAAAGATTTTTTGGCTCCAGAAAAACATAAAGCAAAAGCAGATATTTATGGAAATGATTATATCACTTCCCTCGTGTCCCGTACAGACGCATGTCTCGCGCACATGGCAAATTAGAGGTCATCCCTACCACTTTAGCGCATGTCTGTGTGCGTGTGCCAGTGATTCTGGTACTAAAACATCATAAATAACACTGTAACCCCTGGGACAAGGTGTTATAAATAGGATGTGTCAAACCCTGCTCAGGCCAACCTCTGGTTTCCCCGAAACCCTTTCTTTTCACCCGCCGAGCGGCTTAGCTGCTTTTTAATTTGGCCTTCCCGCGGGCTAACCAACTGACGCCTCTCTGCGAGGGCCTCTGTATTTCAACAACGCCACAAAAGCCCCAGTGCTCAGGCACTCGCGCTCACAAAGGCTCTCCAGCCTCTCTGAGCTGTTACTTTTTTGGAAGCTCCGACTTTACCATCAGCAGAGGAGAAACGCTGGCTCAGGCCAGAAACCAGCAGCCAAGTCTCATCTGTCAGAAACCCCAGGGGCCAGACTCTCCAGCCACTGGGTGGGTGGGGCCCGTCCAAAACAGAGAGAGGAGGAGGGAAAAAAGAGCAAGAAAAGAAAAGAAAAAGCCGAGTGAAGGGGAAAGAAGGTTTAAGAGCGAGAGGAAGCTCCCAGATAAACAGGCCGCAGCGCCTCAACTCCTAATCACCCTGCGCTTCCGTTTCCAGACTCTATAATTAGAAGGGCCCCGTCCCTTTTTTCTCTGTATTCCCAGTTGACGCAAATGCTTCTTGTGGCTTGGCACCTCATTTGGGGCGTGGGTTTTTCGAGAGTTTACAGGCCTTAGCTCTCTGGCTTTCTGGTCGCTCTGATACAGCATGAATAGCAAACCGCTGTCTTAATGCACACTTCACTTGGCTCCTTCTCTGATTTCCACCCTTTCACCCTTGATAATCCTCATGACCTACTGCTCGCCAGGCCGTGTTTCCCTACTCCCTACGTTAATATACACAACTTACGAAACCGGAACTTCGCTTAATTCTGGATGGAATTGCGAGGATGTGCAGCGACCTTGGATTGTTTTTCTGCACAGGGAGTGTTTTCCATCTCCCCTGCACGTGTTGCTAGAATCCTTTTAATCTCGTGCCATTTCAGCCTCCTCTTTTTACATTTGACACACCACCCAATAAAGACCAGCTGGTAATTAAAACCTACTGTAGCTCCCACATAAAAGCTTCCATGAGCAAAAAGTCATCGGAAAATGACTCTGGAAGTTTTCAAGAAGGCACAGATTTAGACTTTTTTTTTTTTAAATTCCTGCACTATCAGGTTTTTCTCTTATTGCTTACACTATAGATTTGTTTGCAGCATCTCAACCTGAGGCGTCTGAAGATGGATTTTGGATTGTCTTCTGAAAAGTGGCACTGCTTTTTTTTTTCTTTTTTCTGTGCAGCTGAGCCAGTTCAGATCTGGGTTTGTTCTGGTGTGGTTTGTTGAGCATGTTGTTTATGGTGAGGACCTATACTTTCTGCAGTTTGATGAGCTTCAAATAAAACTAGACCAAATGAATGGGCCTGTCAGTGGGGGTTACACTTGTGCTGCTCTGTGGTTTTGGGTTTTGGTGGATCTCAAAAGTGTGTGTGCACACACATACACACACACCCAAAACCATCCACGGATGTATGAGTACACAGATGCTGTCTCTAACAGACACTGATCTCGGTGCCTGTCCTTGAAGAAGCACACGACTCCAGCCGTGCTTCTAACCAGAGTGGGCTACCATGTGAAGAGAGCTGTGTTTTATGACAGCAGCAAACGATGGCTGGTCTGATTTTAATGGCCTGGTTTGTTTGTTTTAAAGGCACAGTAATTCTGTCACAGTAATGTTTGTTGTTGGAAAAATAAAGGTGGGGCTTTTTTAAAAAAAACAAAAACAAAACAACACCGGCACAGTGATGATGCATCTGTGAATTTATGACTCAGAAAAATGAGTGACTACTGCATAAGATATGCAGTAAATTTTAAAAATGTAGAACATTTTACTCTTAAGGAACCAACTTTACCATTTTAAATCAACATGTCAAATAAGGAAGGCATTACATGGAGGTCTTAAAAATAGCCATTTAAAAATAGCATAAAGATTTCCAATTACATTAACAATATTTTAATGTAATTTCTGCTCAAGGAAATGCTGCCTTTGCATTGTTGTTAACTGCATTTGAAGCAACATGCATTAAAAAAATGACACCTGTCTCCTAACTGCAGGTATGCTGCTGGTCACTGCTGACACGCTGGGCCACGATTTTCACGTCTTCCAGATCCTCACTCATCCGTGGGCGTCGTCACAGAGTGCTGTTCACCACCTGTACACACTGCACCGTGGAGAAACCGAGGCCAAGGTCTGTAATCAAACCTTTTACAAAGAACGTATGTTGTAAGTCAAAAAGTTCTAAGACAGATATTAAGTCAGAAATTGCCATTGCTGCCACATTAAAATGGTGAAAGAACATATTTTTTATGCATTTGAAAAAATCTTTGTAACAAAATCACATTAACTTCATAGTATTGCCATGCAGAGTCTGTTAAGGACTGGCCATTGCTGCCACATTAAAATGGTGAAAAGAACATAATTTTTTATGCATTTGAAAAAATATTTGTAACAAAATCACACTAACTTCATAGTATTGCCATGCAAATCTGTTAAGGACTGGATTAAGCCTTTAACAGATGAGAGGGCAATTTTACAATTAGTTGAAACACAGTGTAAGGAAAAACAATCATGGAAATAATTTGTTACCGTGCTCTGTCCACTCTGTATAAATAGTATTCTGTCGTTAAAAAAAACCTTGAACCTAGACGCGCTTATTCAGCAAAAAATACTACCGTCCTTGTTGTCCTTGTCAGTTCAAGATTATTGACTGAACACACACACATTCACTATGTACACAGAGTTTGGTGTTTGCCTCATCAGGATGAAGGTCTGGTAGGCCTACCCATTAGAACTACTGACTCGTCACTATCACACCATCAGTAACAATGCCAGGAATGGTCCTTAAAGGTTTACAAGAGTGAATACACTCACACATAAACACACACACACGCACACGCAGCCTGTCTGCAGTCAGCGTATGACCAAACGGCAGGTCCGCTGACCGGCTGCACACCGACTGCCTGCTTTGATCTCACCTGTTGTTAACAGTGAATGTTGGCCGGAGCCGAGTGCTTGGGCCAGAGGTTATCAACGAACGAGCACACACAAACACACACACACACTCTCTGGCACACACTGTAGCGCGATAAAGTCCTGAGCGAGGCGGGTGCAGAGACGCCTTATCTGTCTCCAGTGACCAAACATGCGGCTGGCTGTCAGTGACCCGAGGCCAGGTAAACAGACCTGTGGCTGATACGAGTGCTAGTGGGCTTAGTGAGGGCCGGTCCGCGAGCATGGGCCGGCTGGACAGTACTGGTCTCGGGGGTCACAGGAGATGATGTTTGGATCCTGCCAAACTTTGCAGCCATGGATCAGGTGTGATTGAACTGATAGAGGGTTTATCCAGGCCAATGTTATCGAGTGCATCAAGATGCACTTATGTAACCTGTCAGACTGTGCAGCTGAGTGGACTCAGTCACCTGATTTATGGTTCTGGGCCAAATATTCTATTTTCATTACTTACGTAAAATCCAAATCTATATTATATATTTATTAATTCATTCTTATGTATTATATGATATTTTGTATATGTTCTGCGGACGATGAACTTTTAACCTTTAAAGAAAGCATAATCCTAACAACATTAGTTTCATGTAGTTAAGAATCAAATACTATTCAATGAAATGAATGAGGTTTCTTTTTCTTTTTGTTATTATTATTTCTGTTATTAAGCAGATTAATGCTGAAGGTTATTAAACCAGGGGTGTCAAATTCATTTTAATTCTATTAATGCTGAAGGTTATTAAACCAGGGTTGGGAAATTCATTTTAGTTCAGGTGCCTCATGCAATCTAATCAGATGGTCAGTGGTGGCCCCTCATGCAACCTAATCAGATGGCCAGTGGGCCGGACCAGTAAAATCATAACATAATTACCTTTAAATAACAAAAACGCATCTTTTTCATTTTTTTTTTACATGGAAAAAAAGTACGTTAGATAAATCTTCATATTTAATTAAATATAATTCTACAAAACCTTTCCATAACAAGTGTTTGTGTAATTTTTTTTTTCCAAAATTCATCAAGCGGGCCGGATTCAAACCCCAAGTGGGCCAGTTTTGGCCCGTGGGCCATATATTTGACACGCCTGCATTCATTAATTATAAAAAGTTTTTCGGAGAAGTCGAGTCCCTGTGTGTAACTGGCCTTTCTGTAGTCCATGTTTGCCTGTATTCTGACTCTAAATTGACTTGAATAGATAAGCAGGAGAAAAAAACAAACAATAGCAACTTGTTATCACCTGAAAAAAAACAGTTCCGAACTTCTGCATTATACCATCATTTAAAAAAAACACAACTATGACCAAACAAAACACGGAAACATACCTTAGTGTCAGTAAAGAATGTCGTCAGTACCAGGGGCCCGGCAGGAATCTGCTGCCACCATTTCAACACTGAACATTAGCATTCCACCTTTTTTAAGATAAGACGTTGCCAGTGTGTCGTACCTGCACTGACCTACGGGTTTACGGTCGAAAGCCGTCGCTCAGGTAACTCCTCCATACCTGGTGTGACACTGGGGTCAAGGTACCGATTTACAGTCAGCGCTCTGACAGGTCTATTATAACCAATTATGAGGCACACAAAGTAGTCCTTTCTCATATCTGTGGCATACCTAACCTGCTGCTGCGGCAGAGGTCAGGCCTCCTCTTCTCACTCATCTTTGTGAGGGAGAATTACTGTCTGGTATGCTAGGCTGAGGATACCCCATTAACTGTCATTGCTCACGACAATTACCCAGTCTGACTTGGCAGGAGATTAGAAAGGCGTGCAGGTAAAGAGCTTTCTATTTGACTGGACGTCTTAAGTTAGACATTCCTCGACTCTTTCTTTCCTGGACTGTTCATTTCGTCTCAGCAAAGTCAATTTTCCCCAACCGTCTTTCAACGACAACAGATGGACGGCGACTTGGCACGCAATTCCCCCAATAGAAATATACCCTTGGCCGGTCGTCCAGGTCCTTTTCGGTTTCTGCCACCTTCCATTTTTGGGCGTCTCATCTGCTGCAGTTCATCTGACTGGTTTCCTGGATGTCTAACATTCCCTCTGAGATCCTATCATCTCAAATGTCTGACGGTTGATTGTGTCGTGGGGAAGACCGACGAACTACACCAACGGTTCTTTAGTTCAGTGTTTCCCAACCTTTTTTGTGCCATGGCACATCAGGAAAAACCTCAAGGCACACCACCAAACAAAAATCTCACAAAAAGGTGTACTGAAAAAATGTACTGAAATACAATATAACAAAAATCTCACAAAAAGGATATGTACTGAAATACAATATTCTTATAGTTTAAATGACCTCATCATTGACTAAAATCTCCTGTTTAGTTGAAGACAACACTGATATATTGGCAGGAATTGACAAAAGACACTCGAAAGACTTCAACAACTTTTTTTTCATAGGCTTCTGCTGCCACCTAGCAGAAGAGTATTTAATTGTTCTGCCTTTCATGCTTCGACGATCAAAGAAAATTATATGCAATAAATAAATAATAGTTTTCAGACTAAGGCTCAAAGGTGCAAAATGCAAATGCATCACAGAGCAAATTGAGGAGAAATGTAAAACATAAGATGTTATTGTGTAATTAATCTTTTACCTTACTGTTCACTAACTAGAAATACCTGTCAGATTATGGTCAGATTTAATGGGGATTACAGTATAATTACATATATGTCTGAGGTACTGTGGAGTACCGAGCTTCAGAAAGACAGAACGGTGACAGAGAGTGGTTCCATCTTTCATCTCCACTGCACATTCCTTCTCTCATCCTCTGACTCTCACCTCCCTCTGTCTCCTGACCCCTGTACCTGTTCTTCTCCCCCTCAGGTCCAGGACATGTGTTTCAGCCAAGATAGTCGTTGGGTAGCAATCAGCACCCTTCGTGGCACCACCCATGTCTTTCCCATCAACCCCTACGGCGGTGCACCGTGTGCCCGCACACACATGTCCCCGAGGGTTGTCAACAGGATGTCTCGCTTCCAGAAGAGTGCCGGTCTGGAGGAGATTGAACAGGACCTGAACAGGGTGGCTGTGCTAGGAGGAGCAGGAGGGGGAGGCCTTGGAGGAGGCAGTTGCATTCTGGGTGGAGGAGGCATCGGTGGCCGCTGTAGTCCCATACCAGGCCTGTCCAGCAGCCCCTCTGGATCTCCACTGCATGGTGAGAAGCATTGAGAGGAGTGAATGGGATGATGCTGTTTCTTGTTGTCTCCTTCAGCATAAAATCTAAGCAAAACATATAGAGCAGTAAACACATATTGATCAACCTGTGTTTTGTAGACCCACAACAAGAATTAATTATTAACTTCATTATGACTTATTTTTATGTCCACTTTTGATAGTAAACCTTTGTCTCATGCTGGGATTACATTCATAAAAAATATTATTTCTCATATGTATATATTTCTCATCATAGGTTAATTTCACATACAAAGGGAAATAATTGTATGGCAATATGTGAATGCCAAAATAAATTTAAAAAATTAATTTAATAGTAGAAGAAAAGAAGAAAATCATATGTATATATTTCTCATCATAGGTTTATTTCACATACAAAGGGAAACAATTGTATGGCCAAAATAAATGCCAAAATAAATTAAAAAAAATAATTTAATAGTAAAAGAAAACAGAGAAAATATTTAGCTTGGATTTGTTGAATCTGTAATAATAATAATTACATACATTTTTATATGTATTTTTCTTTAAGATGAGCAGAATCCGCTTCCTTATCAGTTTATTTTGATAATAATTTAATACAACGTGTGTGTGAGTGTGTGTGCCAGCTAATTGAGGTGAACTCACTTGTGATCAGTGCATGTCACCAGAACAAGTTGAAAATTCTACTGATTTTGTTGTGATTTAGGGACATGTTATTAGCAGTGTGTGTGTGTGTGTGTTTGTCTGCACGCACGTGTGTGTGAACCTGTTTGCCCCTTGTTTCCAGTGACTGGTCGTCTCAGTAGAGCCTTTCCTCGGACTCTGATCTGTGTGCCAACACCCTCTGTCCCTTTTTTTGGCCAGCGTTGTAGCAGGCGGCTCACACTGTCCTGAGTTGACACACTCCAGTAAACACACACACACACCCCACATACAGAGAGTATGTGTGAACTGCACCGCCTGACCTCGGAGGCGTTACTCAGCTTAAATATATCACACTTCTCATTAATCACCAGTTTCCAGGAATAACCCTGAGTTTTGGTGGCTTTACATCAGAAAGTGATGAGGATCAGAACACAAACACTTCAGAGAACCCTGACTGAGGAGTCGGTTGTTTTTTACATTTTATTGTAAAATATATTCTGCCATCACTTATATGGTGAAGAGCTCAATGGACTAGAAACCAGATGTCGTAAAGAGAACTGTTAGAACGCTGGATGAAACGGCGTTCTGCGGACATGGGAGTGTCATGAATGTCGCTGACTTTTCAAATTGACGTCACCGACGCAGCTGCGAGATCTATTTAGTTACAACTGTACATTCTTTTGAAACAGCTATTTTCAACCACATTTGATGAAGTGTCATTTTCCTGCCAGGGAGGCGTTAAGACGTCAGGGTAGATTTTTCCCTTGTTAGAACATCAATGAGTTCCTCCCTGATTTTAAGTATTTTTAAAAAGACAGTTTGAGAAAAAAAGTTAGCAAACGACTTTCTGATAGTACGTATTTCCAGGGTTGAACTTTTATTTATTTTCCTTAAAAAATAAAGACACAAATCTACACACCCACACTAGTTTCTGTAAACACTACATGTGGACATGATGGATTACTTGACCTGCTACCTGGACCTTAACTACTACATACAAATACACATCTTTATCTTAACCATCTGCCTTGAATCAGACCCTTATCCAAACAAAATAAAATCTAAAACTTCAGTACACCTTAAAAATGTCCCCACAAGTATAGCGTCACCAGACAGCCGAGACACAAGTGGACGTAAGTAAAGAGTTGGTCCTCGAACACTCGGAGTACTGCGCACTTTCAAGAGTAGTGGCTCGGTGATGAGAGACGGAGAGAGACAGGTACATCAAAGTGGTGCAGGAGGTGAAAGTGACTGAGGAAAGTAATGAGGTGCAATTGACAAAAAAAATGAAGGAGAGATAGAGCAGGGTTCAACCAGGAAAGAAAGATAAGTTTGTAGTAGCAGCGCTGAAAGCTGGGGTCTCTGGGAGCTCCGTCATAAATCACACTTCTGTTTCAAAGAGGAGCATTAAGGCCACCTGTCAACAATTAGTCCCCACGGTGATGCCTTACTGAGTGTGAATGAAGAAGATAAACGGTCAGAAACAAGGTCGTTATGGTAAACAACCAAAATGGAGAGGTTGGGAAAAATCGACCATCACGTCCTGGTTGTTGTGAGAGTTGCCTCCTCTCTTTGCCATTTGGGGGTAAAAAGCTAAATTTTATAACTCTATGCTTTACAGTTTATAATAAAGTCCACAGGAAATTGAAGTCAGGCTCGGCAGTGCTTTCATCGAGGTGTTAATCGGTACCATACGAACGCTGCCTCACCTTTTGATAGCCGTTCTCTCACTTTGTGAACTGAGAGTTTTTTGTTTTTTTTTTGCATTTGTTTACATATAGTGTTACAGCCTCACGTATTTTCTCATGTCTGAGTCCACCATCTCCCCATGTTTTGTAAACTGAGAAACAACTCCTAGGTTTTAAGACTAATAGAACATCCGTCATGTTCCTTTAAGAACCCTAAACACTGGGCCTTTCTGCAAGTAGACACCTTTAGGGAAAACAAACAGAAATAATGGTTAATTCAGACATGAATTATGTAGCTGACCTGACCTTAAGAAACCGCAGGAGTCAGAGACAGACATCGGTGGAATAGGCAGTCATTTTTTTTTTTTTTTAAGTGGCGTTAATGTTTGCCAGTGGAAGATAGCCTCACTAGGGGGCAGTGATGACATCTATAGTTTTGGTTTTGGCTCTTTTCGATATGTAAGATAAAGTCTTTAATAAAATAATTTACTCACCTTTAAAATTTAAACTAAACAAAACTATACATTTGCATTATTATAGCAAAACAAGTGTTAATACCTTGAATATAATTCTGTCAGTAAATTCAGGTTTTTCAGGACAGATTTTTCTAGTTTTTACTCATCATCTTGTTCATAAAATGTGGTTAAAATAGCTCATCCCGTCACAAATTTGAGGCATGATTTGCGTTCATTTACAAATGAGATTTTGTCAGACACACCAAAACAAGATGATTCTCACCCTCAACAGCAGGCCTGTGATTAACTGGTGCAGGAACACCAAAAGGCACACAACACAGTGGGTCATTAACAGTTCAGCAGTGAGATCTCTGTGGGCTAAGGTCATGTAGGTCTCCTGGTGTCTGTTATTTGGATGATAGATTGGCTCCAGCGCATCCTGCCACATGTAAATTTAGAACGGCGGCAGCGCTCCACGACTACAGCCGCCACCAGCGTTGATAAAAACTCCATAATTTGAGCAGTTTTCACCGGATGCAAACATGTTTGAGTCACATTTGCTTTTGTGTCTGCCTTCCGCCTGTTTTTGTGAGCCGGGTGTGAATTTTAGGGATTGAGGGCATTTTTTTTTTTTTTTTCCTGAGGCTGGCAGATAGCAGCAGGGTGAGGCAAGCCGGAGGCTGGGCCACCTAGCCACAACAGCTGCTCTGTGATTGTCGCCAGTGAGGACAGCATTGATTTTGGGAAGGAACTGCAGAAAAGTACACATCCTTCTCAAAACTGCCAGCCCGGCCACCAGCACACCTAAAAATAGAGGCTGCAATTGGCCGTCTTCTTGTCACTGTTACAATCTGCAGACGCTATTTGTGTTCATGTGTACAGAACATTTTCTCTCCCAACTTTTTTTTTTCCAAAGCCTTTTCCTTCATGTGATCAATGTATTGTGATTTGAGGTGATGACCCATAATGTGAACGTCCCACACTGTAAAATGTGGTTTGTCTGCGGTCCAGTGCATACAAGGCTAAATTAGTAAGAGCCGTTTCTCTGCGCAGGGCAGAGGTTATTGAGGCTATAGCTGGCATCTGGCAGCCACTATAGAAGTTTTATTATTCAGATGTTTTTCAGATCCGACCACACTACTGTGTAATGCACGGCAAACAGGTTTTGAACAACTTGATCATAATAATTTAAAAGACATCTTTGATCCTTCACTTGACCCCGCTGCCTATACTTTGGCCTCTTGGCTCCAGTTGGATCTAAAGCTTTTATGTGCTGATGCAATGTAGTCGCCTAAAATAAAAGGGCTTTCATACAACTGAACTACACGCTCAGATAGATTCTGAAAAAAAACAAAAAACAAACTCACATTCTGAACTGAATGATGATAAAAGTTATTCAGTTATAAATAGCGATGGCAGTTGAGGACTGGTTCTGGTAGAACAGCGGTTCCCAAACCTTTTTGTACCAAGGACCGGTCGGCCGGTAATACGCGTCATTGTTGAAGGATCATTAAATATTCAAAATAAAACATCTTTTAGACTTTATCCTATTAGTGTCTGAATGACCTGTTGTTCTGAAACATTGACAGATTATCTTTTAGTGAAAAAAAGTTAAAGGTTTAGATGGAGAAGACTGTAATTGTTTTTGAATTAAGTCAATTAGAAAAACTGAAGGACATTTTTTCAGTGTCTTACTGCGGCCCGGTACCAAATGACCTTTGGACCAGCACCGGTCCCCTAACCGGGGACCCATGCTGTAGAGAAATGGTTCCCAATGTCCCAGTTCTTTGGGATCGTTAGTCTGCTTTATAACGATTCCACATTTGTGTCTTAATTTGGTGTTATCACCATGGCGATCTGTTGTAAGTTTGTTGTAAGATTTTATTTTCCCATACTGTAAATGGAGACTGTTTGGAGAACATTCAGAGCCTGTCTCACCAAACACCATCTAGCGATCTAGCGACCTAGCGTATGTTGCCATTGGGCGACATACTGTACATGGTTGCCTTTTCAGTGTACGCACAGCGCTGCTCGTACACTTCCCAACTGTAAAACACCAACACCAGGCTATTAGTCAGTGCAACAGATTTGTTTCCTCACCAAGCAGGAGCTCTGGTGGTCCGATGGTGGGGCCATCTGGGCTCTGGCACTGGTTCAGAGAGCGAGGGGGCGGCAGAAAACAAGGTGTGACGGGAAACTGTTAATTCACATGTTGA